GGGATGGTCACGCCGCAATCCCTTCTCCTCCATTCTCCTCCCGGGATCTTGGGCACGCACACACGCACACGCGCCCCGCGTGAGTTTTAAGCCACTGGGTCCGGGACGCGAACCGCGGTCAACTACGTGGGAGTCCAGCGACATAGCCATTACGCTAACTGCTGGTTCCCAAGAAAAATTATTCATAATTGAAAACCTAGTAAAAATATGACTGTTCTTCATTGGATGACCATGGGATAAACTATGCTGGATTCATACAGTGGAATATCACTCAGCAGTAGAAAGGGACAAACTATTTTTTTTTTCTTTTTTTTGAGAGGTTTTTGCTATAGGGCGCATGTGCTCACCAGAAAGACAGAGAGAGACAAAGAGACAGAAAGTGAGAAATCAACACCCAGGCGGGATGGCCATGCAGCAATCCCTTCTCCTCCATTCTCCTCTCGGGATCTTGGGCACACATGCACACACACCCGGCGTGAGTTCAAGCCACCGGGTCTGGGACTTGAACCGCATGGGAGTCCAGCGACATAGCCATTATGCTAACTGCTGGTCCCATGGGACAAACTATTGATACAGGAACTTGAATGAATCTCATATGCATAAGTGAAAAAGGTCAGGTTCAAAAGGCTACATATTGCATTACTCCATTTATATGATATTCTGGGGAAGACAGAACTATAGAGTCAGAGTCCAACAGTGATTGCCTGGGTTGGGAGTAAGGAAAGAAAATACTCTGTGAATTTGAGGGATGGGGAAACTGTTCTAGTCTTCACTGTGGTAATGGTCACAAACTGCATGTGTTTGTCAAATACTCATAGAACTGAATTTACTTATAGTGAATCTTAGTATAAGTAAATAATACTTCAGTTTTGGTCAGCATCCCTTGGGAGCTTGTTACAAATGCAGGTTCTTTTTATTGTGTGTGTGGTTAATACAAATATATAGTTATATATATTTATATATTGTTTCCTTTTAATTAAATATTTATTTTGTAATAATTGAGTGCCTTTACTTAGCTAGGGAATCTGGAGGAAACAAAGGTAAATAAGGCATAGTCACTACAATGTGTTAGAAAGATAAAGCATATACACAAATAACTGTGAAACAGAGGACAAGGGGGTCATCATTATAGCTGAATGCAGGTTCTTAAGCCATACCCCAAACCAACAAAATCTGTCTGCATTTTACCAAGATTCTCATATTTCTGTGCAGGTTCAAATTTTAGAAGTATTGGAATAAGGGACTTTGAGGACCAAAGTCCTATCAGGCCAAAGGGTGATGCTGGGTGAGAACCTGATAAAAAGATCCTTTGTTCTGATAAATCATCAAGAAGAATAGACTAAGAACAAATTAAAGCACCAAGGAACATGCATATTCATGGTAGCACTTCTTAATCTAAGCACACTATCCATAGAACTGGAAGTGGCAATAGTCACTGTGATGTTTGAAGACTTTATTTAGACCGGAAATACATACTGTTTGTACTACTAGCTTGTTCTTTGGGTGAATGATCTTAGGAGAGAGTTTTTGTGTTCTGTAAGCACTCCTCCGCAGCCTCCCCCAAATATGCAAAGCAGTAAGGCTGCTGAAAATCAGAAAATACAGGACTGCTATCATCTACTGGGTGCTTAACCAAGGATTTCCTTTAGCTGAATTCTTGACCATAGGCTTGTATTGTGGAAAGACTGATACTTTGAGTGTCTGAATCTAACGTAGGGGAAGCCAGGTCTGCAGATCAGCCCTACATGTCCCGGAGCCCAGATCTGGATACCAGGGACCTGCCTGCTGCCCTATTCTCCCTTGCGAGCAGAGCCTCTGCTCTGGTCCACCCACCGAACCTTGCCCATCCCCTCTTCCATTGATTCCCTGCCCCCACCATGCTCCCTCCCACCACACATATTCTATTGCCTTTGGCTTGTGTTTTGTTTGAACACGTGCCACAGAATGTAGATAGCCTTTGTCCATGTATTTCCACTTGACTGATGGTGTCATACTGTAAAACTCTCTGGTTCCTGTTTTCATCACCAAGTGTCCATTGCTAACATCAACTCACCCTCAGAACAGTGAGCTCAGTGATTCTCTGCTCTGATCTGAGGGCCCTTCAGAGGACACTCAGACCTGAGACTGTCACCCCTACCAGTACACTCGGTGTAGCAGTAACTGTCCTTATTGGGTCCAGGATACGACTGTATACTCTCACTTATTAATTTTCAACCTGTGCACATCTTTAAAGAACATATATTTTTATGGCCCCAAAGGGGCCAGCCCCATGGCCTAGTAGTGGTTAAGGGAGCTGGATTCCACATAGTCAACTATGTAGTTCAAGTCCCAGACCTGCTGGCTTAAGAAATGCACTGAGTACGTGTGTGTTTGTGTGTATGTGTGCATACGGGCCCAAAATCCTGACAGGATGGGGAGATGGAAGAGAAGGGATTGTAGTATGACCATATCCCACTGGAAGGATTTTTCTCCTTCTCTCTCTGTCTCTCTCTGGTGAGTGTACAAACCCTCTAGCAAAAAATTTTTAAAACAATGCACAAATGCATATAGGGCCAGCCCCATAGCATAGCAGCTAAGGGAATGGGATCCTACATTGCCAACCATGGTTCAAATCCTGGCCCTGGTAGCTTAAAAAACAGTTTTGTTTTTTTTTAAATGCGTACATGCATGCCCAAAATCCTCATGAGAAGAGTAACAGTGGAAAAAGGATTTTGATGTGACCGTGTTACACTGTTTAGTGTTCTCTTTCACTCTGTCTCTGGTGAGTACACATGCCCTCTGGCAAAATAAATAAAATAATAAATACAGTATAGCTGCACATATTTGTATATGCACAGAAAATAGCTGAAGGATGCCCAACAAATGATTAATAGTAGCTATCCCTGGGAGTGATATATTTGACTTTGGGGAGCATGTGGGATAGATTTCACACTTTTCTTCATATACTTTTAAACTCTTTAAAACTTTTAGCACAGTAAAACATAATTTTTTGCACATAAGAATATCTGAGGGCTGGCCCATAGCACAATGGCTAAGCCCTGTGCACTTGGAGCTGGATTTAACATGGCCAACTGCAATTTGAATCCCAGGCCCTGTAGCTTGAAAAAAACAACAGGCACATGTGTGTGCATGCCTAAAATCCAGACAAGAAGGATGAAAGGATGAAATAAAGTGACTGTGGTGTGACCATGCCCCATTAGGGGTGCTTTCTCTCTCTGGTGAACACACATGCCTTCTGGCAATTAAAAAAAAAAATGTATGATGGGGGAACAGCAATTAGCGTAATGGCTATGTCGATGGACTCCACGTAGTCGATTGCGGTTCGCGTCCCGGACTCGGCTTAAACTCACGCCGGGCGCGTGTGTGTGCGTGCCTAAGGTCCCGAGAGGAGAATGGAAGAGAAGGGATTACGGCGTGGCATCCGCCCTGGGGGGGGTGATTTCTTGCTTTCTATCTCTCTGTCTCTTTCTGTCTGTCTGGCAAGTGCATGCGCCCTATAGCAAAAACCTCTCAAAAAAAAAAAAAAAAAGAAAGAAAAAAAAGAAAACCGTATGGAAGATGATTTTGACAAAGCTATGGTGTAAATGTGTCCCCCAAAATGCATGTGTTGAAAGCTGATACCCCAATGCAACACTGTCAGGAGGTGGGGCATGAATGGATTAATGCTGATTATATTATAAAAGGTCAGCCAGCTGCCAGTTCCATCTCTTGCCCTCTCCTTTCCCTTCAGTTACAGATGATGCAGCAAGGCAGCTCTCAACAGATGCGACCCTTCAGTCTTCCCATTCTCTGGAACTATGACTCAAATGAACTTGTGTTGATTATAAATCGCCCAGTCTCAAGTACTCTGTTTCAGTGACGTAAAATGGACTGAGACAGACATGTTTTAGTTACATAAGATGTTATTGAGAGAAGCCAGATGAATTCTATGTGTTACTTTTGTGAGTTATGAGTTTAAAATTATTTCAAAATAAAAGGTTTAAAAATACATGGGAGACATTATGTAGAACTGGTGTTATTTTTTCTCTTAAACATTTGATAAAACACACCAGCAAAACTATATGGGCTTATAGATTATTTTCCTGTGGGTTTTTAAACTATGTATCTTATCTCCTTAACAGTTAAAGGACTACACAGGTCATATGCTTCATTATTGATAAAATTTTGTTAATTTGTGCTTTTCAAAAAATTCATCTATTTCATCTAATTTGTTGAACATAGATACAGATATAGTTGTTCATAGGCTTGTTATCCTTTTACTGTCTATGGGATGTATAGTGAT